AAATGTAGTATATATTCATCCTGAATAAAACAGTAGAACAAGGCTAGGCGCGGTGGCTCACACCTGTAATCCCAGCACTTTGGGAGGCTGAGGTGGGAGGACCACCTGAGGCCAGAAGTTTGAGACCAACCTGGCCAACATGGCAAAACCCCGTCTCTACTATAAATACAAAAATTAGCCCATGGTGGTGGCACATGCCTGCAGTCCCAGCTACTTGGGAGGCTGAGGCAAGAGAATTGCTGAACCTGCAAGGAGGAGGTTGCAGTGAGCTGGGCTTGTGCCACTGCACTCCAACCTGAGTGACAGAGCCAGACTCCATCTCAAAAAAGAAAAAAAAAAAAGCAAACAGATTGCAATCTGAGAACGACTTTCCATATGACGGGAGAAAACAGCCCCGTTACTCTGCATTAAAAAGACCACATCTAGAATACTCAACTCAGTCTGGGCCATTGTACATTATGAGGACACTGATAAAATGGAGATCATTTTGAGGCAGTAAACTAGTGAAGGCTCTGGAATGGCATCTGAGGGAGACTGTCTCCCTCAGAGCCAAAGGACAGGAGGGGTCCTGACCGTGGCCTGCACCAGAACGGCAGTGTCCCATAGGAAGGGAACGGGTGGGGAGTGAGCAGAATCAGAGCCCATGGCAGGCAGTGTGTTACAGCAGAAGGTGAGGCAGTAAGATGGTAACTGGGACCTGGAGGCGACACGCCCAGGCCTGCTCTCAGCTCTGCCACTGTCAGGTGGGATGATTCCAGCTTCCTGGAGCCTTAGGTTTCTGTGAAACCATCATTATGTATTCTGTTGGGACCTTTCAATGATTCTAGGTACATGGAGAGAAACATCAGCTTAAAATAAGAAGAGTCCTGTAAAACAACAGTTGAGGAAACAAAAACACAAGTTTCTCTAAAGGTGGTAACCTCCTGTTACTGGAAGCAACCAAGCAAATACCTAGTGACCAGTTGTCACGGATACTGAAGGGACACTTTATGCACAGAGTAGGGTTTGGATGAGAGATCTCTCTCCCAAATTCTTGACATTCTAGAAATTATGCACCTTGTCACTATTGAGATATGATAAAACTATTTTAGGTATATATTTTAAAATAAGATTATCACAGATGCTGTTATTCACATAAATGAGATCAACTCTGAGGCCAAATGTTAATGCTTTCCATTTTACTTTAATAATTCATAAAATAAAATGCTATCACTGGTGCCTAAGTTCCCTTTATTCTTGGCACTGATAAAATGTTATCTCTTTCAAATGTTCAAAACATGGTTATTTTGAATACTGATCCATTCTGCTTCGGTTAAAGTAGTACATCAGAATAGAAAGTATCTTAACAAATTTCCTTGAAATTCACTGTACTTCACTCCTCTTTTTTTTTTGAGACAGAGTCTCTCTCTGTCACCAGGCTGGAGTGCAGGGGCATGATCTCGGCTCACCGCAATCTCCGACTCCCTGGTTCAAGCTATTCTTCTGCCTTAGCCTCCCCAGTATCTAGGATTATGCACCACCATGCCCAGCTAATTTTTGTATTTTTAGTACAGACCTGTATTTTAGGTGTGTTTTTCACCATGTTGGCCAGGATGGTCTCAATCTCCTGATCTGCCTGCCTCAGCCTCCCAAAGTGCTGGGATTACAGGCGTGAGACACTGTGCCTGGCCTACTATTCTGAAATGAATTAAAAAAAAAGAAGGAGGACTCAAACAATTAGAATGTATCTAAATATCTGATTCTTTTTGATTTCAAGGCTTGCCGTCTGAATCCTGCATTGGCGGATGAACTTCACTCTTTACTTATTCGTCAAAGAATCTAGACCACAATGTATTTCAACAAAGATCATCCATGCTAACACCTCACAATGTGTGTATTTTTACAGTAGCTATGTTTGCTTATTTTGCACATTGCAAATTACACTATCCTGGGTATTTTACAGGTGACATGTTACTTCGTTCTTGAATTTGTACACTGTTAAGTTTTGCAACTTCCCTAGATACAGGGTCAAATTGCTGGAAGAATCCTCAAAGGTCCACCTCTTAGCCTACAGACTGGCCTAGACAATATCAACTATGAAAACCATTCTATAAAGCAACTATCTTTTTCCTTTCTTAAATACCGAGTCTCCAAAAAGACTTAGTATAACTTTAGTTTAATAAGTTCAGAAGTAGAAATGATACAAACTTATTTAAAAACATCATTTGAAAGTTTAACTCTTTAAATTTGTCACTTATTTAGTTTTGTGAATTTTGAATAATACCATTTGAATTTTGTTTTAGTCATTAAAAATTTTTAAATGTAAATTCACAAAACTAAATAAGGGTAAAAGTAAAGAAACTTAAATAAGTGTGTGTAGCATTTCTACTTCTGAAGTTACTAAAGCTAAAACTGCACTAAGCCTTTTGAGACATCCTCTATTCTTAAAAAGGTCCATAAATCATTGGCTAATTTATTCCATATAAACTTCAAAAAAAGTGGGTTATAAGACACTGCTTTAGACTCTTGCCCCTCCAAATCTTCTCTCAAAGATCTGAATTTAGTGAGTGAAACAGCTGCTACATACATATGCAGAATGTGTAAGAAACAAAAAACCAACTGCTATATGAAAATATTGTTAAGATAAAGCAAGTTATTTCTTTTTGCTTCAGCTCATTTTCTACATTTTTAAAACACTGTGGAAAAAACCTCAATGAAATCATCAACAAGAACTACAACTAAATATTGTTAAATTAGCAAAAGGCTTTCCTTACATAAATTACATCTATGAAGGCAAAAGGTGACGGTAAAAACAGTAAGATTCATACGCCTAAGGTTATACAAAGCTATCCATTTGTGAAACAAAGACACATATTGAAAATAGGTCACAAAGATATTTTAACTATCCCTATTTTATAAACACTAACTGATGTGACTTTATTTTATAAATCACAACCATCCTGACAGTGGATTTAAACAAGATTTTTTTTAGTAATGGGAAAATGCAATGAACATGGAGGCGATAGTCACTAAGAACTGCTGAATGGCAGAACACTATTTGCTCTAGCTTTATGTTCTGGCTTGTCTATATTGCTTGAACTTCATTTTGTCTTTATATTAAGGGAAGAAATTTCAACAGATTTGGGTTTGAGATACCCTCAAATGGTAATGTATTTCTGTCTCAAATCTGTTTCTTAATACCATCCATATAAGATTCCTTCAATGACTTGAAGATCCAATTTCCCAACTAGTATTCTTTTCCACACTTAATCCAGTTCCTAAAGATTCTTTAAGAACCTTTAAGAATCTTAGCCAGGTACAGTGGCTCACTCCTGTAATCTCAGCCTTTGGGAGGCAAAGGTGGGCAGATCATCTGAGGTCAGGAGTTCAAGACCAGCCTGGCCAACATGATGAAACCCTGTCTCTACTAAAAATACAAAGATTAGCTGGGTGTGGTGGCAGACACCTATAATCCCAGCTACTTGGGAGTCTGAGGCAGGAGAATTGCTTGAACCCGTGAGGCGGAGGTTGCAGTGAGTCAAGATCGCGACATTGCACTCCAGCCTGGGTGACGAGCGAAACTCTGTCTCAAAAGAAAAAAAAAAGAATCTTAAAATAGGAACGTAATAAAAGATTGGCCCTAGGTAAAGAGCACTTTTTAAAGATGGGTTTCAGAAATCATAAACTTGGACATACGCCATATATGGTAACATGCTGTGCTTAAATGTTTTCCATAAATCCAATGCGGAATTTAAAATTTCAGTTTACTGTAGTTACCATGAAGCTGATGTTCTGGCACAAGTGGGCCCCTGCAGTTTACCACTGCTGACGACAGTAGTAAATCCCTTAACCTGTGAGTGTGGTGAATCTGTAACATGACTCTCTCTTCTTTCTCCCTCACACACCCACACCCACACCTTCTCTAAGATTCCTTCTAGCTGGTATCTCATGGAAAACAACAATTTATCATTAATACAGAGGAGACAAAATAATAGTGATGTTTCTCATTTGCAATACTAACAGCTACAGTTTAAATGACAGCATAGAATTATGTCGAAAATGGACATTTCTAATAATTGTATTACGGTAAGTTCTTTGGACTTGACAACTTCACATTCTTCTCTTCCTTGAATGTATTTTATCTGGTCTTTTCCATGGTCTTTTGAAGGATAATTTTCATCAATAGCCAACTTTGGGTATTTCTTTTAAGTGTCAAATATCATAGTTTGAAAAAAGTGTAAAAAAGCTATAACTAAAAAAATCTTAAGGATAACATTTTGGCTTACCAATTTTTAATCATCTACCTTTCGGAACTTGGCTTCTTATCAAGAAGTTGGCAGGTATGATACATATATTACACGTATATAATCTGGCATGTGTTATATACATATGTATATGGTATCTTTCAGTGATTCAAACTGAATTTTTACCTTTTAATTGTTTACTTGTTTTGTTTTCAATATTCTTGGGGATTAGAGAGGGGAAGCTATTATCATTGCATAATAGATGATGAAACCAGGAAAGTTAAGTACTTGTCCATGGCCCCGGTATGAATAACAACAAAAAATCTCTACTCTGGATCTCCCCAAATGCCCCTGTGGTCTAAAAGGCTTGATGATACAACCAAGTCCCTGAACTGGCTGCCCCCCTCTTTCCACCCCCGCCCCCGTCTTAGTCCTGCCCATACTCCCAGGGTCAGCTTCCATCGCTCCTCCCTAATGCCTCTCTTTAAGAATCATGTATTTCACATATTTACTTTTTGCCTGGAGAAAGGCAGCAAACTTTAAAAACGTCCCTGCAGAAGTAGTTAAGTGCATAGCGTTTTCTATAAAAAGGCATTCGATAAATATTTGAACTGCCTGTAGAGTTTCAACGTGTTTTTTTGAGATATAAGCATCTTAAATATCATAGAGCGCTGTGATTCATTTTTATATTTTATTGCTTTGAATGCTCAAACTATGGGAAATCTTTGGTAAAAATAAAGACAATAAAATCTTCACAATAACTTTACACAAAGCATTGCACAACAATGTTCTTCAATACACATGAAATAATATAAGAATGTTCACAATCCTCAGTGAGGAAATTAACTGTACAATATTCATAGTTCATTTTAAAACAAAATCTTCTCATAAATATTTAAAATACTTCCTAAGTTCTCACATATTAACATTTGTATTTCAATCAGTATGTTGTTCTTTAAAGTGTTTATATTAAATAAAAATCAATAGAAGTTTTTTTCTGTTGCTTACCACAGCATGAGTCCCGTCCTCCCCAATTCTGCTTATTTCACATAAAACTAGAGGGAGGTAACCAAAATAAAAATCAGTATGGTTCTCATTCAAGCCCTCTGTGGAAAAGAGGAAAATGTTTCATGTCTATTATTACACAGACATTTTTCTGGTGGTTTATTTGTGCAGTCTCAAACTTGACCAGCTTTAAGTTGATCTAAATGAGTTCTCAGCTCAGGACACAATTCAATTAGCAGCAGTTCCATCAGCACCTGAACCAAGAAAGAAGGAAAAGAAGTCGAAAAATGTGTTTTTTTTCTCCAAGGGTTTATTCAAAATAAATATCTGCATCTAAGAGAAAAGTCTAATTTTAGGTCTGAATTTATCTCAGTAAACAAATAACTCTCAAACGGTATTTAATATTGTTAACTATAATCAAAGAGATGACTGGGACAGTTGGCTTTGCTGAAATAAGAAAACCAAGCACTTACGCAGCAATGTTGTATCAAAAGTCAAGGGAAAATGGGTGAGGTGGCTCACGTCTGTAATCCCAGCACTTTAGGAGGCCAAGGTGGGTGGATCACCTGAGGTCAGGAGTTAGAGAGCATCCTGGCCAAGATGGTGAAACCCCATATCTACTAAAAATATACAAATTAGCTGGGCGTGGTGGCAGGTGCCTGTAATCCCAGCTACTCAGGAGGCTGAGGCAGAAGAATCACTGGAACCCAGAAGGCAGAGGTTGCAGTGAGCTGAGATCATGCCCTTGCACTTCAGCCTGGGGGACAAGAGCAAAACTCTGTCTAAAAAAAAAAGTCAAGGGAGATGACTAGCATGTGAGAATCAGAGTGCTGCAGCCACTGCCGTCTATGTTTTTCCTAACCAAATGAAGAAGCAGACAAAATGACGCAGAAACCCCCCTGAGCTTTAATTTACTCACATATAACAGATGCTTATTGGCTCTTGTTTCTTGCAATGCATTGAATATTTTTATAATACCATGGCGGGCATTTTGCTGTCCAACAAGGCTCTGAAGCATATCTGAAAAATTAAGTTTATATTCTGTGCTGCTATTGATAAAGTGTTCAGTGCATGGCTTTGTAGTGAAAGGAATATAACACTGTACACATACAATCAATAAAGACATGGAGGCAAGAGAAACACGAATGTTCAGTTCTCTCAAATGCTTCAGGAGAGAATTTTCAATATAAGGCATTTATACAAATTACAATTTTAATATTTTGCAACTACTAATTTTAATAATTAAAATGTTAGTATTTTGCTAAAAATTAAGCTCTCAAAACACTATACTTTAGCTGGATTTCTAAAATACAAAATTTATTATCTATTCTAAAACATTTTTCAAGTTCTTAAGATTCTCAGTATAGCTTCTTAGCAAGTGACAAAACATGGCTTAAAAGAGTATGATCCTTTTTTTTCATTGTAAAGAATGTTTCCGGCAAGACATAAATGAAAAACACCCCAGTGGGGTTAACATTCCCTCATGATCTCTATGCTTTTCAGGGTAACAGCCCAGGCCTCACCTGGAATGTTTTCAAGCAGCTTTTGCCGTGCTCTCTGTTTCGTTCCCTGACTTCGCTCTTTGCTTCTGATTGTGGTCGGTGGTGCCAACTTCCCATCTGGCCAAAAAGCATCCCGGAAAATACTGATGTAGTAAACCAACATTTGCTCACTGAAAATCCAGTTGACTGTGTCCCGGATTTGTCTTTTAAGAGAAAAGGATTTCTTGGATGAGGTTTTTAAAAATTGCGTACTCTGTGCTCAAAAGGCACTTACCAATGGGAAGGTTAAGACACAGCCTGATCTAAGTGACTGATGAATAGACTAGGGATTGGAGTTTTAAGCCCCGGCTCTGAAAGTTATTATCATTATCATTATTTTTGAGACGCAGTCTCACTCTGTCACTCGGGCTGGAGCGCAGTGGCAGGGTCTCCACTCACTACAACCTCCGCCTCCTGGGTTCCAGCGAGCCCGAGATGCTGGGATTACAGGCGTGTGACACCAGGCCCGGCTAACTTTGTGTTTTTAGTAGGGATGTTGGCCAGGCTGGTCTCGAACTCCTGACCTCTGGTGATCCACCCGCCTTGGACTCTCAAAGTGCTGGGATTACAGGGGTGAGCCACTGCTCCAGGCCTGTTTTTTACTTTGGTAATACTGCATGACTGTTTATTCCTGGAGCTCACTTTGTCATGGGCACCAACTTCTCCAAATGTTGGCTGTGTAGCACCTTTCAATCTACAAAGACAAGAACCGAGAGACTGATTTGTCTGAAGACGGCAACATTTCCATGAAATGTTTCAAGGTGAAAACATAAATCCATTTAAAGAGCGTCAGAAGTGGTCTGGAAAACCTCCCTGAGATCCTGAAGTCCTGCAGAAGGACCAGGCTTTCCACAGCTCTTTTAGTGTTGCTAGGGCAGTAATGCTGGGCAGGATACTCGGATCCAGATGAAGCACTTCATATGCCCATGAGGGTAGAAAAAGGACAGTTCCTTTCAAAGATACACTGCTATGGCCAATTTCAAAATTCCACAAGAATGAAAATTGGGTGGCAGGCATTTGACTTGCAGAGTTACGTGTTTTATTTGGTTACCCAGGTCTTCCATACAACCCCATTTCTTTAGTTAGAAGTCAAATTCTAACCAGTTACAGGTCCTCTGCTGTCAAGAGACAACTACACACAGTTCAAAGAGCCCAAGAGTAGTTGTGAGGTTGGGAGAAGAAAGCCTCTCCATGGAAAAGGGGAAAAGAATCATCTTAGACTATCTGTGCCAGAAAGAGCTCCAATTTCAAACTCAATTCATGAATAATAATAAATCAAAAAGCCTGTTAAGAATCTGACTTCCAACCAGAATTTTAAATGGACAATATGAGGTTTTCAGAAATAGTATCTGAAACAGATGTTTCAAGTCCAATACTTTGTAGATAGTAGGTCACTATTGAATGTACATCTGAACTCTACTATGAGTCATTAACAGTCTGTAACTGCACATCTCCTATATTATTCTCTATATTTCTTGGAACTGTGCAATTCAAATCTAGACCATATAAGTTTATTAATTAATGGAACTTGTGGTTTAAGAAAGAATTTGCTAGGCAGGGCGTGGTAATCCTAGCACTTTGGGAGGCCGAGGTGGGTGGATCACCTAAGGTCAG